GGGATGTCAACCACGTATAGATCTTTACATATGTATCTTGCTCCAAAGATTAATGATTATAGTAGTGTGGGTATGCTAAGTGTTTAGACTCAGCTAATGAATAAAGTGTAACTAAAATCCATTAACTAAAAAGTTTGTGAATAGCTTTCAGTCCTAACTTAATTGTGATTAAGTTAAGGGTCGAAGGCACTAAGCCATTGACCAAGGGTTGAGGACTTTGACTTCTGGGTGTATTTTGGTAAATTGGAAATTTATGGAATGGTTTCATGGTGAATATAGGTGGCAAAGTCCGTGGTTGTGATTCAAGAGTTTGATCTTATTACTTCAGTTCGATGTTTGCAAGGTGAGTTTTCCTCGCTATACTCAAGGGTCGAAGGCACCAAGGCCGTCCCTTTGGATTTTTATCCTGATATATTATGCTAGTATGATTTGTTAGATCGGTATCCTGGTAATTAGGATGGTATATGCTATTATGATCTATTAGATCAGTATCCTAGTAGATAGGATGTTATTATGTTGCTATGATATGTTAGATGGGTTTATCTCTCCATAAACTGTTATGTGATTGTCTGTTATATGTGCACATGTTTGATTGGTGGTTGAGGATTATCTTCTTTGTGTGAAAGCCAATAGACACGGGCATTCCAACCTGATGGTTGTGGGCCGTGAGTATTTCATCCAGAGGATGATTGGACTCGTAGTATGTGGGCATTCCAACCTGTTGGTTGTGGGCCTGGGGTATTCCAACACGAGAATGATTGGACCCATAGTATGTTAGCATTCCAACTAGATGGTTGAGGGCCTGGGGTATTCCAACCCGATGGTTGACTGGATCAATAGTATGTTGTTTTTTTATTATATGTATATTGTTGTATGTATGGGTATTTTAGGGGAACTCACTAAGCTTTAGGTTTACAGTTTTAGTTTTGTTTCAGGTACATCAGATGATAGCGGGAAGGAAAAGGCGTGATCATACAATTCCTCATATTTTGACACCTTGTTTTTTGGATACTCTAATATATTATTATTTTGAAAACAAATTTTGTAATAACTGAGCTCTAAATGTTTTGAAAATTTATAATCTGGCATGATTTTTATTGATGTTACACTATGGGAGCCTTCAAACCAGATTCCCCATATCATAAGTAGTGAAGAAGTGATACAATTAATAGTAATAATACTTTTTATCAGAAGCTGGTTGCTATAGTTCGATTCTTCTTTCGATGATACGAGTTCTCTATAGCTAATTTAGCTCTACCACCAATCTGTCACACCCTCGGCCGAGGCAGCGGAACATTTCGGGCTGTGCGAGTAAGTTCATGGATCACACGTAAACTGAATATATAGCACAAGTGCAACAATAAACAATATAGTGTTCGTGTTCCATCTTTAATTTGAATACAAGGTTTTTACAAAATAATATTAATAATACATGAGTTGCATTAACAGATAGACATATAATACAACAAGTAAACTAGGTCACCTGTAATCCAATCCGTCTTGAATGTCTGTTTAGTGATTTATTGAGAATACATGTAGACATTTGAGTCTACCCTCCTACAATGCTTCATTGGACGTTGCAGTAACGATTGTAGACATTTATCACCTGCTTCGATTGATCAGTCGAGGTTGTAACTAGCAACTGCAGGTGGGGATGTCAACCATGTATAGATCTTTACATATGTATCTCGCTCTGAAGATTAACGATTATAGTAGTGTGGGTATGCTAAGTGTTTAGACTCAGCTAATGAATAAAGTCTAACTAAAAAGTTTGTGAATGGTTCTCAACCCTAACTTACTTGTGATTAAGTCAGCAGGCATAATGAATTTCATTGTATAAAGTATATAAAAGCCGAGTATACTTGGTATGCATGTAAAAGTGTAATGTACTCGCTTTTATAAAAATGTATGTTTCAAAGTAACGAACATATGTATAAACTATATGTATTTAAACATATAAATATACATGAATAGTAATAGTTTGAATCATTGAAATACTACAACATTTTATAGCAAGCTTGTTATCATACATAATGTCACATAAAAATGATATAATTTTGTATTAAGTAGCATTTGTTGTGTGGACTAGTTGTTTCATGATAAAATAAGCCTAATACGTATACGGATAGTTTATACTAGTTTATTTGTAACAATATGTTAAAATTTTAAATAACATTTTTATAAACTATGATTATTATATTTTCGTATAAAAAGGTAATTGGCACGTGTATCCCCCCTCCCCACCAAAAAAAAAATTCAAATATTAAAAAGGGACCGTAAGCACTCACCCTTAAAACGGGAGTTCCAATCGCTCGAATTCAGTTTTTTTGAGAAGTTTGACGTTAGAAACCGCAAATCCACCATTCTTGAACTTTGAAATACTCTCAAAACAATTTCATAACAAATTTAAACTATTAGTGAATTAACTTCACTAAAGTATATGTGGTTTTTTGGTCATTTGATTAAATTATTTGGACTGGTTTGGTAAAAAAAAAAAAAATACCAAATGAGGGATTGTTTTAAATAATGGAATCATTGGGATTGATTTTGAATAAAAGTTTAATAGTGAGGGGTAATTTAGTCATTTCCTAATTAAAAATGACTTAGGGAGTTGGAGCTTTTTATTTGCATCCCATTTTCTTTGTTTCATCGGGCATACAAAGGATGAACGAAAGCAGCGGGGGAAGAGGAAATTGGAAACCGAAGGTCAATCGAAGGTCGATCAAGGGCAAGGCTGATCGATTGCAGTCAAGAAGGGCGCACGAAGGCAGCGACGATGCGTCTGATTTCCTTGCTCGTCGTAGGCCACGAAGAGGACCGAAGGAAAGAGGAAGCTCGCAGGCGGATAATCTGGGGGTTTTGGGGTCAATCGCTTGCAAAGGAAGTGTTTCCAGGAATCAACGGGGTCGAAGGGAGGGAAAGGGGAAAGCAGCGAAGCTACTGTGGTCTTTGATGGGTGCAGTGAGGAGATGCAATCCGTGGTTAAAAACAAGGCACCTTCGGTGCTTGGCTAGACCGAAGAGAAGTAGAAAAGGAGAATGGAAAGGCAGCAGCAATCAATAACAGGTAAGGGCTCCTTTTTTTGTGTTTCTGAATAAAAATGTTGAAGAGAAAGGGACGTGTTTGGTTTGATATTTGACAGTTGAAAATGAAGAACGAATGATGGATGTTTCTGCGTGCCATCGGTACGAAGAAGAAGAAAAGGGTATAAATTCTCTGATTATTATTCAGAGAAACTTGTAGTTTTTCCTTTGGTTAGATGAACACTTCTAAATTGTACAATTGTTTGGTAAATAGTATAACTTTCATTTTGTTTTGACTGCAATCAATGAAGTTTTGGTATGAGTTTGGTTTTGATTTTCTTTTGGCAGTAAGAATGAGCGTGGGAGGCTGCCACAAAGTAGGAGAAGGAAGAAAAGAACAAAAGAAAATGAAAAGGGAGGGTGTGAGGGGCTGTTCCTGTGACAACTTCAATTGAGAAAAGGAAATCTTCCTCTTTGAGTATGGTTTTGTATAAAAACTAGATTATGATCCGCATAAAACGCAGGAACATATAAAAAAATACATATAAAAGTATGAAAAGTTGGCACAATAATTAAAAAGAAAGTAACAGAAATAGAATTTGTTTTATTGGTAACAATGAAAAAAATAATGAAATGCTTGAATATCTATAACCGATGAAGGATCTCTTTGTAAACAACGTTTTTTGTTTTATTAGTTAGACGACCTTGTCACGTATGAGTACCTTCAATACGATATCTTTTTAATTTATACTCTTCTTAGGTTCGGGAATCAATGTCAGTTGTTTTTTTCTTTCTTGTTGATGTATCAATTAATGCAATACAAATTGGTGTTACATTTGGAGTTTTTAGTGCTATTAGTCGATTTGTTAATCATCTTCCAGTAAGTTCATCTTTTTTTTAAAAAAAAAGAAATACAACTTTTTATATTTTCTTCGAGTTAATGTTTTATTGATTTGTATTAATAATAATATGATTGATGTAGGAGGGTTCTCAAACACTTGTGGGAATTACATTTGACTCATTGCAACATGTATTTTTTTTTTAAATAACCTTTCAAAAAGAATTATTCCTTCAAGCTCTTTTGCATTTTTTATATTGCAACCATTGATTTTCTTAGTTCTAGATATATATAATGTTTACACTCCTCTCCCCTCTGATGTTATTATTCAACTTTCTAAAGTGATGAAGTTACCAAATACTGGTGTTGACGATCATTGGACGTTAGCAAATAACATGAATGATTTTTCAAGAATCCTATAAGTAAATCTATTTCTAACTCAAGTTACGACAACGCCCTTGTGTTTGTTTGTCGTGTGTTTATCATAACATTTATTAAGGGGTATTAGTATCAATTTATACATATCTCCAAATATAAGTTAATTTTAATCAAGGGGCAAAATATTCATTTTTCTTGAGTTGGCAAAAAACTTTAACCTGGAGAACACGAGTGTAACCTATATGAAAAATGTCAAATGTCCTCTAGAATCTGAAATGTTATAAGTTGTCTTCGTAGTTGACTTATCTATTATTTTTCATTTCCATTTAAGTTCTTTTTGGGATTAAACAAAAGGAAAAACAACATAATTTCGTTATATGAAAAAAAAATTCGGAGTACAAAGATACAATTGGTATAAAACCCTAAAATGATAGCTCATAACATTGGCCTAACTCATCTAATTTTTTATCATACACTAAAAGAACAAATAAAAGAATAAAAAAAATAGTTGCAATGAAAATCTTGTTGTACCAAAAGTTGGCATAAAACTCAACAATTTTTGAATATAGGAAGAGTCTACTATTCAAAAATAAAATCCGAAACTATAATAAGGAATCAGTTCTTGTAGATGTGCAAACCATAATCAAATCCAACTGTATGAGTATACTTGAAGGGCTAATTTTCTCATAGAGAGCATGACAAAATCACCGATGAGAAATTCATTTGGTGGCAAGTTAAAAAGATTTTTGAATGTCGAATTCCTATGAGGTGACTTCATATTGAGTTGTTAAGAAGATAGAATAATTCGTATAGATATGCAATCCATAATCAATACTCCTATAATGCAAAAGTTAAAAGATTTTACAGAAAAATGAAAATAAAACGCCCTAAAAAAGAAGTGAAAATGGTCATTTACCAAACTTTAGATGGCTTCAAAAAAGAAACGCTATTTGTTCATACTTACTTCACACATACATCATTTTAATAATGCAAATGTCAATTTACCTATAAGGAATTTAAAATAAATAAATAAGCCAAACCTGAGATCCTTTTTGACAACATATGCATCCGACGTAACTATATTGGATCTTGGAAAGCAAATATATTGGTTAATGCAAGTGAAGGATATGAAATTGATTTTCCAACATCCATTTTGGGTAACATCCACTTTCATATCCCTTTTACACATACTTCGGCTCTCATCATGTGCGATTATTGCTTCTGTTAAAAAATACAAAGTTATACAACCATATAAGGTTATAACACGTTTGGTCTTCAAATGTAAAAATCTTAAGAATGACCTAACTACAAAGATTCCTAAGTATAGTGTCTCACGATTGGTTTTTTATTCCAGTGAAGGGGATTGTATCACATTACCTCGATGGTATATTATCTAAGAAAGTAAGAAATAAGGCTAAATGAAACTTGATGGCAAAACACCATTCTTTCGTTGGTTATACTGAAAAATATACAAATTTTATAAATTCTTAGAAGTGGATATATTTTGTTTTGATAATCAACATTCTATACATAAAAATCCCAAATCTTTCCGATGATAAACTTTGATAGTACACGGTCATTACAATTTTTTTTTTGTCTCAATAGCTTAAGCATCTAATAGAGGCTTAAGGATATGAATATAAACTAAAGAACTACATACAATACATACCTAATAACCTCAAGTGCTCCAGAGCTTCAAATATTTTTCTCACACTTCTTCTCTCAACTTTTACATATTGACGGCATGTCTCCAATTGGTTGAAGCGCTTTAATATTTATGAAATTGTTCATAATCTGTAATGATAACATAATACTTTTTAATCTTAATCAAAATATAAATTCTATTCGAGTACCTAAAAAACTACATTATGGTGTCCCTGCTTTACAATATTAGAAAAATAAATAAATAAATTCATACATTTTTTTGCAACTTTTTCATAAATTACATGAAAAAGATCTATCAATCTTTTTCTGGTCAAGGATTTAATCTCCCTCATCATAACAAAATCGTAGTATATTAATGATTCATGATTGATTATTCATCCGAGCCAATTGTAAGGTTTCTAGGATGATGATCAACATGAAAAAAAACTTGTTGGTATCTACATAAAATAGGGAAAATATATTAAAAATTCAATAAAAATAAAAGCATTTTTTTTAATGAGCATGTTCATCTGAGTGTTGGGCGTCTTATTTTGGAAGTTTTTCGATACTCTTTTTTAGTCCAAAAAGAAAAGTTACATTTTATTTTAGAGGCAAAATTATAAAATTATTTGACCACTTCTATTTTTTATGATCATACAGATAAATATTGACAACTTTTTTATATTATTTTACCAACTACTCAATCAATCTGAACTCTGGATAACTCACATAATATCTTTTGATGACAACTTCTTTATATATTCTATCGTTTTCTACAACTAAAAGCAAATAAAAAAAGAGATAAATTTAACTATCATGTTACTTATTCCATCACTAACAAAAAAATCTAGCAAGAAACATATTTGAAGATTGAATTGCTACCTGATGCAAATCGACTCATTTTTTATTCCTTTTTTTGTTTATCTTCATCTGCTGATACCATGAAAAATGGTATTTTCAAGATGGTGTTAGATGTTCGAGGTACTGAGTGAATGCCAATTGATATCAAGAACACATATTAATTGTGTTCAACAAAAACCCAAAATCAACATCAAGATAGCCTTGAAGAAAAAAGTAAGCACACAAATGGTGAAAACAGAATGGTATATATATATATATATATATATATATATATATATATATATATATATATATATATATATATAAAGAAAATGGTGAAAAAAATGAGGGAAAAGAAGAAAACAGTAACAAAAATAGTATAAAATGCAAAACAATAGGTTGGAGTGATGTAGAAAACAAACCTATGAATAAATAAAAAAGACGAACGCGTTAATTGTGTGTGTATGTAGTCTTTCTAGTTTCTGCAACAAATAGGAAGAGGGAGACGAAGAAGGAGCAGTGATTCCCTTAATTCCTGAAAGCAAGGGTAAAAATTAGGTTTTTTTTAATCAAAATTTAGAAATAAACACCAGAAATCGAAACATAACAAATCAATTATAAGTCGTTGTGCGTAGAAACAAATAACTGAGTGGAAGAAGGAGAGCCCTAAGGTGAAACGCAAGAAATATGAAGAAAGGGAAGGAGACGAAATAGATGAGTGCTTGCGGTTGTGAGCATAAGATGAAAGGGATTTGAGGTTACATAAGTAGGAATCAAAGAGATAAGATTGTGGATTGTTTGCGCATAGAGACATGGCAAGAAAAATTGTATCTGGATTCGAGGTCGTAGAAGGGAGAATCGATAGAATCACTATGAAAGAAGATGTACGCAACATTGAAATTAGTGGAAGAATCTTTATTATGTAACTTCCAGCACCATTGATTTTCATATATTATTCCCTGCAATAAATTGAAAAGAAAATAATGACTGTGTTCGTGATTTTCAAACCAGAACAAAAGAAACGGGTAATGAGGGGTAGGGTTGACCAAATGATGATGTCATTAATAAATTTTCTAATTTTAAAACTAATTTTATTTTTGGTGAGATTTAATTGCTATTAATAGATTTCTTAATTTTAAAAATAATTTTATTTTTGGTGAGATTTAATTGTTATTAATAGATTTCCTAATTTTAAAAATAATTTTATTTTTGGTTAGATTTTAATTGTAATTAATAGATTTCCTAATGTTAAAAGTAATTGTCATTAATATATTTCATAAAATTTGTGGAACAAAAAAAAGATTGACCAAATGATGATGTCAACATAGCGTCCGTGGCAATCTGTTCCCACTTCCATTCGGGAATCTCCAACGGCTGCAACTTGTCGTGCGGTCTCTGATGCTCGGCCTTAACCCTGCGACATGTTAGACACCTCTCCACGAACCATGCAACGTTCCTCTTCATACAGGGCCACCAATACTCCCTTTTCAGATCCAAATACATCTTAGTGGCCCCGGGATGGATCGAGAACTTCGATCGATGAGCCTCTTCCATCAAAATGGTACGCGTTCCACCCACATGCGGTTCCCAGATCCGACCCTGAAACGTCATAAGCCCCCGACTATCGGTGACGAACTGTGATACTTGCCCGAAAACCCGCTCTCTCTTCTGGTTTTCTGGCCTAATGACCTTGGTCTGAGCTCCTCGAATGGTGTGCAACACCGGAGTCATCACCGTCAACCTCATACAAATGTCACGCATCGGAACACTCTCCGCCCTACGACTCAAGGCATCGGCCACCACATTGGCTTTTCCCGGGTGGTACAGGATCTCACAATCATAATCCTTTACCACATGCAGCCATCTCCTCTGTCGCATATTCAGGTTGGGCTGATCTATCAAGTACTTCAGGCTCTTGTGATCGGTGTATATGGTACACCGGACCCCATGTAAATAGTGATTCCAGATCTTGAGGGCGAACACTACTACCCCCAACTCTAAATCATGGGTAGGATACCTTGCCTCATGAGGCTTCAGCTGCCTCGATGCATACGCTATCACATGACCCCTCTACATAAGTACTGCTCCCAACCCTGATATCGACGCGTCACAATATACCACAAAATCCTCCATTCCCTCCGGAAGGGTGAACACCGGGGCTTCGCATAATCTCTGGCGAAGTGTCTCGAAGGAGGCCTGCTTCTCTGGGCCCCAAGCAAAAACTACACCCTTCTGGGTCAACTTAGTGAGTGGTACAACGATCTTGGAGAAATCCCTGATGAATCTTCGATAATAGCCTTATAGACCTAGAAAACTCCTGATCTCCGTGGGTGACCTCGGCACCTCCCAACTCATTACTGCTTCAATTTTAGCCGGGTCGACCAATATCCCTTTCTGGTTAACGAGATGTCCCAGGAACTGGACCTCTCGTAACCAGAAATCACACTTGGATAACTTGGAATAAAGCCTCTCCGATCTCAAAACCCCTAGGATCTCCCTCAGATGTTCCTCATGCTGCTCTCTAGATATCGAATACAACAAAATGTCATCGATGAATACGATCACCGAGCGATCCAACATCGGTCTGCACACCCTGTTCATGAGGTCTATGAACACCGCTGGTGTGTTGGTGAGCCCGAAAGGCATCACCACGAACTTGTAATTCCCGTAACGAGTCCTAAATGCTATCTTCTGAATATCCTCATCTCGCACCCTCACATGATGATATCCAGACCTCAAGTCGATCTTGGAAAACCAAGATGCTCCCTGCAACTGATCGAACAAATTGTCAATCCTCGGCAACGGGTAACAGTTCTTGACCGTTAATTTGTTCAACTCCCGGTAGTCAATGCACATCCGGTGTGAACCATCCTTTTTTCTTGACAAAAAGGATAGGAGCTCCCCACGGTGAACTACTCGGCCAAATAAATCCCTTTCCCAGCAGCTCCTGCAGCTATGAGGATAACTCCTACATCTCTGGAGGCGCAAGGCGATAGGGCGCCTTGCGATAGGCGCTGCCCCCGAAACCAAATCGATACTGAACTCCACCTACCTCATAGGAGGTACGCCCGGCAACTCCTCCGGAAATACATCCGGGAACTCAAGCACTATCGGAACCTCTCCTACAGACCTCGGTATCTCCGACTCAACCCTCGCGTCCATAACATATGCTATGAATCCCTTACATCCCTGCTGAAGGCTCTGCCTCTCCCTGGCGGCTGAGCAAAATGCTGAACCGGAACGTGTACCCTCGCCGTACACCGTAAGAAATCCCCCGCTAGGTTCTCGCATGGTCACCAGCTGTCACTCGCAGTCGATGATTGCTCCAAATCTACTCAACCAGTCCATGCCCTCGATGACACAGACATCCCCCATCGCAATAGGGACCAAATCTATCGGAAACTCAACCTTGAAAATCTCAAGTACACAACCACGAATCACCTCGGTGGCATACACCACTCTCTCATCCGCTATGGAAACTCTCAGAGGTCGACTCATTGCCTCTCTACTAATACTGATGTGTAGGCTAAAGGCCAACGATACAAAAGACCGACTCGCACCCGAGTCAAATAACACTAGAGCAGGTACAGAATTCACAAGGAAGGTACCTACGCATAACAATATATAAGCACAATCATCACAGAATATAAAAGAATACATGAAAGAGTACATATCAGCCACGATATCGGGTCTGCGCGGACCTCCTCCGCAGTCAACTGGAAGGCTCTCTCGCGTGCTTCGGTGCCTCAACCTTCGCAGGTTGGACATTCACAGCTCTCACCACAGCATGGGTTGATCCCGGAAATGCTCCCTGCGCTGACCCTCGCAACTGTGGACACTCTTCCTTCCGGTGTCCAGTCTGGTTGCAATGAAAACAGACTGAAAAACCCTTGGGGCAATCCTTGGCCATGTGCCCCTCCTTGCCACACTTGCAGCAAGACCCTGCTCTGCATATCCCATCGTGACTCTTTCCGCACTTGCCACAAGTGCGGGCCTTCTGGTTCCCAGATCTCGAATCAGCAGGTTTGGCCCACTTGGCTGTCGGCTGAGACTAAGCCGGCCGCCGATCCCTTCCCTGAGACTCAGCCTCCTCCCTGGCTTGGGTCTCCAGCTCTATCTCCCTCTTCCGGGCATTTGCCTAAAGCTCGGAAAATGTCCGGTACGTCAAGTTCGCCACGAAATCACGTATATCCCTCCTCAGAATGCTCAAATATCGGCTCATACGTGCCTGCTCGGAGGACATGTGCTCTGGGAAGAACATCGCCCGCTCATGGAACATCCTCGTAATCACCGTAACAGACTCAGTACACTGCTTGAGGGTCAGAAACTCCTGGGCCAAACGCTCCCTCTCCACCTGGGGAACGTACTCATCACGGAACATAGTGGTGAACCTCTCCCAGGTCACCGCAGCAAGCTCGACAGACGTAAAATGCGCAATCACAAACTTCCACCAGTCCTTCACTCCCAAGTGAAGCTGGTTCAGCGCGAACTGGACTCTCAGATGCTCTGGAGATGA